CAGATAGTTTCGTTCATCTAGCTGCTGTTGAGGGGAATGGAGTGCAGAGGGCAAAACGAAGACTGATCGGGAGGGGCTGCTGCAATAGGTGAGAGTAGACAGGCATTGAGACAAGGGGGAGGCAGCTGAAATGCAGAGAAGTAGATGGAGTCCCCACGTGTATTTGGGGCAGAAGAGAGAGGACTTGCTGATAGACTGGGCAGGGCCAGGGGAGGGAAGGAAAGAGGAGAGCTAAGAATTAGTAATCCTACGTTTTGGACTGAGCAGTGGGTCACTCGTGGTACCATTTACTGAGAAAGGGAGGACTGGAGGAAGAGCAAGTTTGGGGAAGGAAGAGGGAACCACGAGTTCTGTTTGGGTCTATTATATTTCAGATATCTGTTAGGCTCCCAAATGGCAAGTTCAATTTCATCTCTCACAGCGGGTCTTTCTTGCTCCAGCCTACAGGGGATTCTCCACATTTGTTCATACTTTCAGATGCATTCATTCCTTTTCAGCTTTCAGAAAAAGAGCTACGGTACCCTTATCCCCTGAGGAAAAAATCATATGTTCCCCATGCTGTGCAGAGAAAGGGAAGGTACCCAAGTCCCTGGTCTCCACTACATTCCTGGACAATTATTAAAAGTCTGAAAACTGCTGAGCTTAAGACAAGAGTTGTAATTTCAATGGCACAACTCAAACTGATGGTGGGAAAACGAGTCTTAAGAAGTAAAAGATGTACACTGTTATGTATGCCATTCACAATAAACTATTTTATTTCCACAGTTTGGGAATGCAAAATCATGAAAAAAAAAATGTCAATGGGAAAACATGTTTCCGTTTTGATTTTGATAACTCAGATTGCTATAAATGATTTTAATCTTCTCCATTGCACATACCTTGAATAGGTGTTTCTCCTAGCAACTCTCCCCTCTTGGAGGCATTCAGTTGGTGTCTACTATGTGTCCCTGAGTCTTGTACTGGCTTTCCAGCTGACTCTGATAATACTTGAAGTAAGTGGGAGTTCTCTGAGGTTGCAGCTATCACGGGTCTGAAATAATGCACCGGTCGATAGTCTCTTGGCAATTCAGGTGGTGGATAAATCTTAAAAAAAATAAAATAAAAAAGCTCAGAAAATACAGGCTGCAAGATGATCATGTTTGATTTAACCAAGAAAACCTGTTACCTCTGAGCATTAACCCCAGCCTTTCCTAGGCTAACATTCAGCAGGTAGGTAGCACTGGGAACAGCCTGTCCAGGGACTTAAGCCAACATCCATCCTGCATCCGGAGGGTCACCAGAACTGCACTGTTCTAATAACCAGACATTTTTAATATTACCCCTGTCCACTTCTACAATGATAATATGCATGGTTCATATGATGAGAACAATAACAATAGTTAACACAATTTACTGAGTGGCCCATGTGCAGAACTGGCCCACTGTAAATCAGAATATTTAAAAGAGTGCAATTCAAGGCGTAGAAAAAAATAATAACTCTAAATAAGTTACTTTTAAATTCAGAATTTTTTTTTCTGGTTATGTTTCAGTTCCAAGTTGGAACTCCAGGCCTTATTTTTTGACCTGAGGTATTTTTAATTCCAAAGCTGACTGAACTGAAATTGAAATATATTTGAGAAATTCAGGTATCCATGATGGCAGAACACATAAATTAAATGAAAGTATTCGATATTTTTTAACTATTGCACTAAATGGTCTCTCTTGCTCTTGGTCTAACTAACATATATATTCATGGACAGTCCTATTGAAGCTGTTTCCTAGATTTTTCAGCGACCTGAAACTCTGAACTCCATAACTGGTGAAGCACTAGGCGCCCTCGGGCAGAGGTCTCGGCCCCAGCTGCACACTGGGCTCGCCTGTAGCTTCTAACAATAGCGATGCCTGGTCCCATCCACAAAGTTGGCTACCATTGGAGTTTCCCAAGCTTCCCGGGTGTTTGTAAGGTTTCCAGGTGGTTCCCTGGCATGAGTCCCTGGCATGACAAAAATCCATGAAAGAGTGCTATGATCACTGTTAGGAAATCTTTTCTTTTCTTTTTTTTTTTATCATCTTAGCCTGACCGCCTGCTCTGAAAAACACAGACTCCCCAGTCAGCCGGCAAACACTCTCATGTTACCAAGACATAAAGATTCAGGGGTGCATGGCAGAAAGGAGGGGTGTGTACACACAACTCTTCTTTATATCCTCCATCAGATTCAAAGCATTTCACAGAGGCTGAGTTTTTAACCACATATCTAGAAAACTTGCCTGGCTGTGAAAGGCTAGATGGACACAGCCCTCTGAGTTGTTCGCCCTCAAAGCCCTGCTCCAGCGAGGAGCACGTCGGGAACCCCGAGGGCCTGTCTCTCCATGTATGGCACTCTGCCCTACAGCGAATTTGTCTGTCGGGCACCCTCACCGAACAGGAGCTACCTGGGGGCCAGGACTTAGTCTTCTCTATCCGTGACCCCCTGAGCTGAATGAGTACTTCTCAACCATCTTTATGCTCCCCTTTCACACATGTAAAAAACTCGCATTCTCCTTGACATATTTGACATTTCTAGTAAAATAGCAGGTGTGCACAACACTGTTTTAAAAATATTCTGCTCGCTATGACAACACATTTACTATCACCACCAAACCAGTCAAAGCCACTGTAATATCGAATGTACTTCCTCAGGCATCACTGCTCCTGGCTGCCCCTGTACTGAAGAACCACAGTACTACAGAAGCCACAGAGGTAGTTAACAAATGCTTACTGAAGGAAAAACAAAAAAGCCCGTTAAAATGTGGAGCACCCTAATAAAAAGGCTGCCAACAAGACAAGTGGCCAGGTGCACCCCTCCTGAGCTCCCAGCGCCCACAACTAACTTGTGATGCTTACCTGGGAACATGTGACTCTGATGAGGGTCAAAAGGCACCATTTGGCCTAAGCTGTAAAAAAAAATCACAAAAATGGGGCAATGTGGCGTTCTCTACCAGAGTTCTCCACCGTGGGCTTTGGCCCACATGCACGCGGCTTCTGTCCCTTCTGCTTGCCAGCCAAGGAGCCCAGGGGACCTCGCCCACGCCAGTGAACACGCTTCACAGCATTCAGGAATCAGGACTGTGGGTCATTGAGACTGTTTGGAAGTTTTCTACTTTTCCTTAAGTTACAGTATCCCTAAAATTGTATCAATTCCATTCTCCCACCAGTTTCTACTGTCATTCTTTTTTTAGTGGAAATAGCCACTCCCTTGAAGTTTGGATTTAAAAATTAGCAATTAGCTGTTTTGAATACAATGTGGCTACTGACTGACATTTCTAATACAGATTATGTTCTCCTGGACGATCACTAGTGGCTAGGCTGGTGCTTTTCAGAAAACGGAATTCAGAATTTACTTATCATTCCAGTTGTTAACATGACCCAGATTACATAGTAGCAAAAATTTTAAGTACTAAACCAGTGAAAAAAAGAAATTCTTACTTTCTTAGAAGATAAAGGTTTAGAAGCCAAGGAAAATCCATCCAATATTTTGCCAACGTAGCGAAGAGCTTTCTCTGTTTCTACAAAATGATGTCATTGATTAATTCCAGCAGCACAGGTTAGAATAAGACAAAAGACATCAGTTTTTTATCTCAAAGAACACAAATACTACATGTTATACATGATATCACACAGAGATAGCAGTAAAGGAGGAAAGAACGGCACGTAAAGCCCTCACACCTCTGTTGACTCTGGCAGCCCAGCCCAAACCACTCACAGCTGATTGGGCTGCCCAGGACCGAGGATATGGCCCTCCATGGCAAGTATTAATACCTCAGCACTGTTTTTAGAAAAAGTGCCCGAGATCGTAAGCTAAGGGGCACCAAAGAATATACTCTGAAGCACGAGCATGGATAAAAGTAAAAATCATAACTAAGAGGGTCATTTCTAAGATGAGGTGAAGAGCCATGGGAGATTACCTCCCATTTCCTTAGCAACCATCCAAATAAGGCACAAAAGACAATACAACGAGGTCAGCCCATAATCTAATCTTAGTACAAATTAAAAGGTACATTTTGTCTTTTTCTCAAATAAAATTCTAACAAGAGATAAAAGATCACTAATTCAGCAAACAAAATGACCAATGCCCTCTGACTTGGAGCCAGGGATCCTCTGTTGGTTGCAGTCACAACCCCATCGACAAAGGCTCTTTGATTATCAAGGCTTTCCAGCACATAGGGGTTCAGTCAAAAATCCATATGCTAGGCCAGCCGAGGGGCGCGTTGGTTAAGAGCTGGCTTGGGACGCCAGAGAGCCCCAGTTTGGATCCCACATGAGGGCCAGTGATACTGCCCTCTGCAGCTAAGATGCTGAACAACAGCTCAACCTGGAGCTAGGCTGCTGTGAGCCGCCAGCGACAGAATAGGCTGCAGCCCCTGCTGCAGTGGGTTGCCATGGGCTACCGTGTGTAGCCAGCAGCCAGCGTGAGCGGCCAGCAGCCGCAGTGAGCGGGGCCATCCAGAAGCCGGCGACTGATCTGCCTCGCCTGGGGAAAGTGCAATGATGGTGCCAACTTGGGCCAGTGAAGCAACGTCCTCCACAACTAGACTGAAGAACAAAAGGATAGCAACTTGTCTGTTCCCCTTCCCCCAATTCCCCAGCGCTGTTCCCATCCCTCAATTCCCCAATAAAAATCTTTAAAAATTTATACACATTTTAAGAAAGGAAAAAACTATTAAAATTGTAATACTCACTATATACTGATAAAAAAAGATGAACACAAGTCATGTGTATACCTGTTTTTGGCACCCCAGGTATAATGATAAAGCAAAAAAATATTAATGTAAGCAAAAGGAAGAAGATAAAAGTAGTGTAATTACTACCCCGAGGTAACACCAACTAATATTTGTGTGCACACCCTACCAGCAGCTTGTGTGAAACCCTTGGTTCTTTTTGTGGTGATGATGACAGCGGCCACTCACACTTACAGAGTGCTTGCCGTATGCCAGGCACGTTCTAAGCCCTTTATGTACATTAAAATCTCCATGGCATGGGTAGATTTTGTTACACAAAAATGCTGAGCACAGAGAGGTTACATAGCTTGTCCAAGGTCATGGCTGATAAATGGGGAGCCAGGACTGAAACCCAGGCAGTCTGTCTTCAGGGATTGTGTTCACAACCATTAAGCAAACTACCTCTTAAAAACTGTTTTATACCTGCTTTTTCTTTTCCAGAAATGTAAATGAGCATCATTTTGGAGAATGATGCTTAGATTATTTCAACATGTATGTTTTAGATGTATTTTACAAAAGTTAGACCAAACTTTATCTGACTACAGCTGAAAGTGTCTGAATCAATTGTTTTATCTCAGCTCTCACCTCCTTACTTTATTTAGGTGGTTGTTATTATTGTAACTGAAGAATAGTAGGTGCCATTTATTTAGGACTTGAGGCGGGTACTGCGCCAAACACCGAGCTATATCTTTTAATCCTCACAATAACCCTCAGAGTGGATTTTATCCTCACTTTACAAATGATACCCAGAGGTTACAAGCCTTGCCCAAGGTCATGCAGCTGGGCAGGAGAGAGCTGGGATCCAAATCTAGGTCTGATGGGCCCCAAATCACATGCTAGTACCTATGCCACACGATCTCCTCCCGATAGCTTTTTTGGAAAGACTGAAAGACTACTTAGAACCACAGGATCTGAATTACTATAGATTCTGACTTGAAATTCAAGGTATGTTGAGAGAATGCCCATGTCCTCGCCCAACAAGAGTGCCTTCAGAGCCAGGGACCCCCGAGCTCCCTCTTGCTGCAGGCTGTGTTCCTACCACTGGTCACCACACCTCGGCCTTCTGACCTGCTGCTTGAATTGGCCTAGTCTAACCGCCGGCCCAGTTCCTCGAGCTGAAAGTGCTTCCCTCTGACCCAGTGCCAGCTCTGACCTGCAGCACGAGCACCCTTCCCCCAAAGCGGGGCCTCCCTTGATTCAGGACTCTTTCCCCTTCCTTCCTTCGCCCTTGCTTTACCAATCGGTTTTGGCTTTACCCCGTCTAAATCCCACCTGTGTCTTACTTCCCACATTGGGCCTCTCTTCTCCCCACTTTGTTGCTCACCCTGCATCTTGGACCAACAACCCCCTACTCCATGGAAGCGGATAGTCCAGTGTCAATCTTGCAGCCCCTTCTCCCTGATGCCCGGACACTGGTCCCGCCATCAGTCGCGGGTCTGTGGAGTTACCTTTCTGACTTTGATATTGCTTGGGTGCTGTCCAGCCATACAGCCCATCTCCAGGCTCCTCATCCTTCAGAATGGTGTCATATTTGGATAAGGTTTCTGTGGCATAGATATCATCATCTTCCTCTTCCAGGGCACCAACACCAAAAGCCTTCAAAAACGAAGTTTCCAACAGTTTTAGGGTATGACTGCATTGAAGGATAAAGCTACTTTAAGGATGTAATTGAACAGACCACATTCGCACTGTACGATCACCAAGAGACAGAAGTGAATGGGAGACCCAGACGGACACAGGCTCAAGTCCTTTGAAAAACAATGACCAGAAGCAAATGCCATGTCTCCGGTGCGACGGCCGTTCTCCAGACCCCGCAGCAGCTACGGGTCTGGGTCCAGGTATGGGCAGAGTGGAGAACACATGCAAGCAGCAGTACAGGAGGAGAAACGGGGCCCCCAAAAGGAGGGAGGCAGAATGTGCTCTACTGTTTAGTGTGGCCTGAGATAGTGCGGGTGACCAGGGTCTGAAGACCACCACTACTCTAATAGCTGCTGTAAGAACTCCTAATCTTTGTGGGAAACAGCCTCCAACAAGCATCACTTTTTGTTAAAAGAACCCAAAAAAACACATGTATGAGAAAGAAAAGGGTATGATATTTTCTAACTGTAATTTAGGAAAGAACCTCTGAATCAATTTGCGAGAACAGGCAATCAGTAAAAGTTCTCCATCTCCTCAAAGGTAAAAAAGCAAATCTCCCAAAAGCTCCCAACGTAGGGCTGGCAGTACTAGGAAATAGTCTGAGAGGTAGTGAAACTTGGACCTCCACTCGGAGAGGCAGATTACAATTCAACTTCTAACTGCTCGTAAATCAAAGGAGTAAATGGTTTTCTGTTTAGCCCCACAAGGAGGTGGAAAAGCAGTGCTCACTCCTGGGAGCACACAAACTCCACCAAGAACATAGGTCACAGGGTCTCAGGAGTACATGTTAAAAACAGGAAGGTATGCTTTACACGTCTTCAGAAAAGATCCTAGGACAACACATAACCACTTCAAAGTCTTCCTGTAGTCGATGAATAGTGAGTGCCTACTAGAGGGCAAACATAAGGAAAGTATTCTCATGTGTTGGTGGTTCCATGTTTACAAAACAGGAACACTTTTACCTGGCCTGAAATGCCCAATTTTCTTCCTTTATTCACTCCAATATCTCCAAGAAGATTACTGGTCCCCGCGGGTCCCCCACAGAAAAGATTAAAAGGCTCTTCCGAAGTCCCAAACAACGCTTGGTGGGGATCCAGGCCCTTGTACGCCAGTCCGTGTACATTATCTTTAGGTGTGAAATCCACAGGCATGACATCTTTGGGTGCGAAGGTCACATTTTCTGGCAGGTAGTCATTATCTTCATCCTATTTACAGTATCACAAAAAATAGAATGAAGGTGGGTCACTACCTGGCGCAAAGCAAACCCATAAAATACCATTCTCAAGTGCAGTGATTAATTCCAAACAGAATAATTACCAAACTCAATTCCGGTATTAAAAATCAGGGCCGGCTGAGTGGCTCAGTTGGTTAAGAGCTCGCTCAAGAGTTTGAGCTCTGAGCAANTCTTCGTCCTTGGCGTGAGTGAACCTGGAGGACAAGGTCGAATGGGAAGACACATACAGCCGAGCTGCCTGAGAAAACTCATCCCGTTCGCGGCCTCGCTCCCACTCTGTCATACTGGGGTCCAGACAGTGTTCCAGAGCATCTACGGGACAGAGGACAAGAAAGTACTTCATGCTTTGGGGGAAACATGGTGCGTAAAGGAGAACATCCTGGGGCAGCCGGTTGGCTCAGTTGGTTAGAATGCAGGCTCATAACACCAGGGTTGCCGGTTTGATTCCCACATGGGACACTGAGCTGTGCCCTCCACAACTAGATTGAAGGTAACTACTTGACTTAGAGCTGATGGGTCCTGGAAAAACTCATTGTTTCCCAATAGAAAAAAAAAAAGGAGAACATTCTGGTTTTTTAAGAGCATGGCAGGGAGGTACTCAGCAGGAAATATTGCTTGCTCCCTCAAAATGATGCTTTTATTGAATTCTACCTACTGCGTGTATCAGAGAAAAACACCTGGGAACGAATGCTTGGTTAAATCTTCAAAGCAAGGAACCTGTTACTACTCCCAGTGATAAGTTCATCCCAACTATACTCCTAAGTTTTGACAGAGAAACACTCCTTTCTCTAATTTAATTTTTTTTTAATTTAACAAATAAACATTAGGGGGTCTGGATTCTTAGTAGGGACTTCAGGCACAGTACACAAAGACCTGTTTTGAAAACCAAACCCTGGGGTGGCTGGTTAGCTCAGTTGGTTAGAGCACAGTGCTCATAACCCCAAGGTTGCCAGTTCGATTCCCACATTGGCCACTGAGATGCGCCCTCCACAACTAGATTGAAACAACTACTTCACTTGGAGCTGATGGGTCCTGGAAAAACACACTGTTCCCCAATAAAAAAGAAAAGAAAAGAAAACCAACCCCTCTCATTTGCTGACTACCTCTTGTGAGGACTACGACGTATTAGAGTAAGCCCTCTCCTCAGTCTCGCCATATTTATTTCCTTCATAGATTACAGAGTGAGTTTTTCCTCCCCCATGTAGTGGTTCAACAGCCAACTCTCTTTGTAAGTCAATTTTTAGACTATGATTTAGGGTTGGATGATTAGGACCTTGAGATAAGGTGGGAGATGACCTTGTTCTCTTGGTGTGAAAGGCAATGCTTACAGAAGCCAAGCATTTGCAAATAGTAAATGGTCTGTGAGTCAGCCTTAGCCACCACCAAACATGCTCTCTACTTAAACAGCTATCGTTGGACCCCGAGATACAGAGAAACACAAGTTAATTGTTCTCGCTTTCTAAGGTCAAGAGCCAGAGCCTGGAATCTTTGCACTGATCATAGAAGGATGAATCAAATCACTAGCAGATTCAACTTTCAATCTCAGACTAGGATTAGAATAGCAAGAATGCCGTCCCTGGCTGAGACATGGGAGACCAAGGCCTAGCACCCACCTTTCTGACCGCGTTTCATATTTACTAAATACTCTTCGTATCGTTTTTGCTTTTCTGGATCTTTGGCGAAAGGTTTGAAGTTGCTGGCTTTTGTGATGGCTGTCCCACCACTCAATGCCATGTGCCGAGAGCCATGTCCGACGTCAGGAGAGGCGGGCTGAGGTCTGCTGCTTGAGGCATTCTGGGCCAGGCTCCTGGCCTTGAGTTGGGCTGCTTTAAGGTCAGTTGCCTGCTTCATTTCTTTGATTCTCTCTTTATCTTTTGGGGACAGAAATTCTAACACAGAAGTGGCTGAACCTAAATAAAAACAACAATAGGAAGAGATGAAAAGTATCATAAGACAAATACGTTTACATTTCACTGTATAGACATTTTCAATATCACAAATGTATGTAATTGGAGATCAGTATTTTACATTTAGTGTTTCATCTGCATTCATACTACCCCTGTGAACTAGATAGTAATATAACAAGACTCCTATTTGATGGTTGGCAAAAATGGAGTTGAATACTTGGAGGTTTATTGGGCCAGTGTGGTCCCAGAACAAGGAAGCTGACATGCTGAACTCCGGACCACCAGTCTGCGGTGGCCTCCATTTCCACAGTCCTGACCAGCACAAGCCCCTGTTCAGAGCACAGCTGCCCATCACGCACTCACTCCTGTCACACATGCTCACTGGGCATCCACTCCATACCAGGCACTGGCCTAGGGCTGGGAGGACAACGCAGAAAAGGTCCTACTCTCATTAGTGAGGGACAAGGACGTTAAAGAAGCCAAAAATCAGCACCAGAGGATTGATACAAGAGGACTGTGGGGAAAGAAAGGGGGTGATGCGAATGAGGGTAATTTAGATGAGGGCTGGTAGTGGGGTTGGAGGGGGAGATAGCTAGCTTATATGGTGGGCAGGGAAGGCCTGGAAGGGCCCTCTAAAGACATAATAGTTGAGATAAGTTCTCAGTAAAAATAAGGAGCCAAAATATGAGGTAAGAGCAGAGGCAGAAAAAGCAGCAAACATAAAGGCCCCGGGCGACATCATGGTTGGCAGATCATGAGGGAAGATCATGAGGTTAGACTGCAGGGGGTTAAGGCGAAGTGGCACAAGATGTGGCTTGAAAGGCGGGCAGGGCTGGATCCAGANTCAGAAAAGTCAAAATTAAATTCTTCTCACTTAGCTGGTGTTATGAGGTCATCAAGCAGAGTGGCTCCAGGAATCGGGGCAGTGGCAGCTGCTAACTGCCTGGCCTTCTCTCGTATTCTATCTCTGGTTTTGGAGGCAAAATCATCTGTGGTAACAATCGCTTTCGGTGCTATCCCAAATTCACTAAGATCCTTACAAAAAAAAAAAAAGTCAAACAGAATTACTTACATTATCTGGAAAGTGATTAAACATGATACATCACGTAGCTTTATTCTTTTAAAAAAGGAAAGTTAAAACTACACAATTGACTTAGGGATCAGAGGAGCGGCTGACTTCACTCACTAATTTTGGGACCCTCATGTAAGCTAAGGCCAATGGCCAAGGCTGGGGGCGTTATAGTGGCTACTGGGTGAGGCCACAAGGGCACGGACAGGCTAGGAAAACAGGAGTAAGTACCGCATTCTTTTCAGACAACATCGCAAAGGTCCGTGTGAAGGGAGCAAATCGTAGAGTCACAGCCAACAAGAGCATTTACTGTGGCTGCCTGTCCAACAGCTGTTGGCCCGCCCTCTTTCCACACAGAGCCCTGAGGTTGTCCAGGCACCTGCCTTCCTCTGCACCGCCATGCACCTCGGGAGCGGTGCCCCTGGTGTGTGCGTGCTGAGGCTGGGGCCGGGTTAGGGAATGGGCTTCATGTCTTATGTAAGCCATTGATTTTGATCCCATGTCCCTGGCCAAGGACTGCTTTAACAATAAGCGCCTAAAACAGTCTGTCCAAGCAGATGGGAGTGAAAATCCACTGGAGGGTTTATGTGAATGGTTTCTTTGCTCTAAACAAAAGTTACCAAGAAGAAAGTCCCGGGGGCCGGCCGAGTGGCTCAGTTGGTTAAGAGCGTGAGCTCTGAGCAACAGGGACACCGGTTCGATTCCCACATGGGCCAGTGAGCTGCACCTGAGCTGAGTTGCCGCTGAGCTGCCAACAGGTGGCAGGATGGCTCAGCTGGTGAGAGCACGTACACTGTTCCCCTTCCCCAATTCCCAAAAAAAAAATCTTAAAAAAAAAAAGTCCTTCCCCCACTGGGTAATGTCCTCCTGGGTGTGCCACTGGAAATGACTGGGTGTGCCACTGGAAATGACTGCAGCCCCCTTGCAAGCACAGAGAGAGCTAGTGTAAGGACAAGCTTTCATGCAGAAGATGACTGAGAAGAGAATCTGGGGCCATGGTGACATCTAGACTTCTTGTGACATGAGACATGTTTCCATACGGATTATACTAGTCAAATAGGAAGGGGGCCTCTCCTTGTCTCTTACCTGCAGCCTAAAGCATGCTGACGTAAGTCTTTTATTTCATCTTTATCACAGAAGGCTTTGTGGCAACCCTGCTTGGAGCAAGTCTATCAGCACCATTTTTCTAACAGGCTCAGATGATGGTTAGCATTGCTTGGCAATAAAGTGCTTTTTAATTAAGGTATGTATTGTCTTTTATATGCATTGGGAAAACAAAAAATTCATTTTTTGTTCATTTATTGTGATATTCGCTTTATTGCAGTGGTCTGGAACTGGACCCGCAGTATCTCCAAGGTATGCCAGTACATGACTTTCCTCTTACATCTTTTTTTTTTTTTTAAAGGGCGTTGGAGGGTGGGGGGAGCAGGGCGCAGCTCACAGTGTCCCATGCGGGGATCGAACTGGCAACCCTTGGTNCCTCATTTGGGAAGAGCACAATGATGACAATACCAACATGGGCCAGTGAAGTGACATCCTCCACAACTAGACTGAAGAACAAAAGGACAGCAACTTTTGTTCCCCTCCCCCAATTCCCCAATAAAATCTTTAAAAATTTCACATCTATAAAGTAGCAGATGCTGCTGTGCCACAATGAAGGTCGGCCACCCCATGCCATACCTCAGAGCCTTCCGACCCTCCAGGGGGTAATGCACAGCCATAGATTTTTACTCCAGGATCTATTGAAGAGATTTCAAACGCATCAGTCATAAGCAACTAAAAATACAGAAAGCCAACTTGCTGACACTCTTTAGACGTACATGGCTACGCTTGTAAAAGGTGCTTCAGCTTTAGGGTGGGAGACAGATCCCTCAGAAATTATTTTCGCCAGCCCCTGCCCCACCCACACTCTGGAACGATGCACTCAATGAGTAACCACTACGTTGCCCCAGCAACGCAGAGAACCCGAAAAACAAATTATTGCTGCCTCCTAGAGTTCAGTCTGACTAGGGTGACAGAAGGCAAAGAATAAATAGAAAATAATCATGTTAAGTTGTGATACAGTTTCGACAGAAGTAGGAAACAGTTTCGTGCTGCTAGTGGGAATGTAAACTATTGGGTCGTCAGGAAAGTCAAGACGTATTTTTCTATATGTTTCAATGCAAAAATGCGTCATGACTTTCCTGACGACCCAACAGTATAACTTTTCCAGAAAGCTACTGCACATTACCAAAAAGCCTTAAAATATGCGCATGCCTCTGAGCCAACAACTTCTTTTTCTAGAAACATGTAGCCATTAAAAAGTATGCTGTAGAATTAATGACAATCAAATAACCTACCAGGTTTTTGTTGACGTGGTTTTCTCTTTACTCGGGGGCCAATTCCTTGTCCTTCCTTCCAACCCATTTTTCTCAGCAATTCAAAACCAACAGATAACCTAGGATATCAAGGCATTGAAAATGAACCGCTTTTTACAACACTAGCGAACAACAGGAAATGAGCAGCCTTTGAGTTCCTGCCCAGCTCATACTCGTCATGCCTGA